CACCTTCACCTCCCTCACCCTCCTCCTTCAGCTCCTCCTGCACCCTCACCTCCCTCACCCTCCTCCTTCAGCTCCTCCTGCACCCTCACCTCCCTCACCCTCCTCCTTCAGCTTCTCTGCACCCTCACCCTCCTCCTTCAGCTCCTCCTGCACACCCTCACCTCCCCCTCTCCTTCAGCTCCTCCTCCTGCCACCTCCCTTCCTCCTGCACCCTCACTCCCTCACCCTCCTCCTTTCAGCTCCTCCTGCACCCTCACCTCCCTCACCCTCCTCCTTCAGCTCCTCCTGCACCCTCACCCTCAACCCTCCCTCCTCAGCTCCTCCTGCCCCTCACCTCCCTCACTCAGCTCCTCCTGCAACCCTTCACCTCCCTCACCTCTCCTCCTTCAGCTCCTACTGCACCCTCACCTCCCTCACCCTCCTCCTGCACCCTCACCTCCCTCACCCTCCTCAGCTCCTCCTGCAGCTCCTCCTGCACCCTCACCTCCCTCACCCTCCTCCTGCACCCTCACCTCCCTCACCCTCCTCCTTCAGCTCCTCCTGCACCCTCACCTCCCTCACCCTCCTCCTTCAGCTCCTCCTGCACCCTCACCTCCCTCACTCCTCACCCTCCTCCCTCACCCTCCTCCTTCAGCTCCTCCTGCACCCTCACCTCCCTCACCTCTCCTTCAGCTCCTCCTGCCACCCTCACCCTCCTCCTTCAGCTCCTCCTGCAACCCTCACCTCTCCTCCTTCAGCTCCTCCTGCACCTCACCTCCTCCTCACCCTCCCTCACCCTTCACTCCCTCACCCTCCTCCTGCACCCTCACCTCCCTCACCCTCCTCCTCCTTCAGCTCCTCCTGCACCCCTCACCCTCACTTCCCTCCTCCTCCTCCTTCAGCTCCTTCCTGCACACCTCCTCACCTCCTCCTCACCCTCCTCCTCCTCTCCTGCACCCTCACCCTCCTCCTTCAGCTCCTCCTCACCCTCCCTCCTCTCCTTCAGCTCTCCTGCACCCTCACCTCCCTCACCCTCCTCCTTTGCTCCTCCTGCACCCTCACCCTCCCTCACCCATTCCCTCCTGCACCTCACTCACCCTCCCCTCACCTCCCTCCCTCACCCTCCTCCTTCAGCTCCTCCTGCACCCTCACCTCCCTCACCCTCCTCCTGCACCCTCACCTCCCTCACCCTCCTCCTTCAGCTCCTCCTGCACCCTCACTTCCCTCATCCTCCTTCTTCAGCTCCTCCTGCACCCTCACCTCCCTCACCCTCCTCCGCTCCTCCTGCACCCTCACCCTCCTCCTTCAGCTCCTCCTGTCACCCTCCTCCTTCCTCCTCCTGCACACCCTCACCCTCCTCCTCAGCTCCTCTGCACCCTCACCTCCTCACCTCCTGCACCCTCACCTCCCTCACCCTCCTCCTTCTGCTCCTCCTGCACCCTCACCTCCCTCACCCTCCTCCTGCACCCTCACCTCCCTCACCCTCCTCCTTCAGCTCCTCCTGCACCCTCAACTCCCTCACCCTCCTCCTGCACCCTCATCCTCCTCCTCCAGCTCCTCCTGCACCCTCACCTCCCTCATCCTCCTCCTCCAGCTCCTCCTGCACCCTCAACTCCCTCACCCTCCTTCCTGCACCCTCTCCTCCTCTCCTCCAGCTCCTCCTGCACCCTCACCTCCCGGGTGTCTCTCCGCGAACTCCGTCAGGTCGTAGAGCCCGTCGTGTATCCTCCAGTAGGGTCCTACGGCGTCGTCGGCCCGTTTTCCCTTAATCCACTTTAGGGCTGATTTAAGGGGGTGGTCCCGGTCCTTAGGATAACCCTTAAATCCCGGAAGTGCGTTGGAATTCACGTCTTTTCCCGCCCCGTTTTCGCCGATGACGTCATCTCGGAGGGGCGGCATCTGGAATTATTTGACGGATGCAGGTGGTGGGTCTTGGGTGCATATATATAATTCGTGTGTGTGTGTGTGTGTGTAATATACGAATTTTTCATTTACCAAATATAACGTATCTATTCCAATCCATATTTGTAATAATGTCATATTAGTGATTTTTTATATACCAATTCATTTAAGAGATTGCACTATGCCATCTTTTCCAGCGATTTCTACAAACGCGACACCTTTCACGCGACAAGAATCGAATTGGCGGTAAACATCTTAGAGTTGCCAGCTGCATTCTTTCTACTTCCGATATTTCTTGTATAATCGTACTTATATTGGATATCTATAACACCGCACAACCCACCATAAGATATCAAAAACTATCTATGATATCATATTTCAAAAAATACTCTGTACCGGCCGAAAAAATAACCAGTACTGTAAAACAGCTAGCCGTCAACCGCAACCATTCCCATTACGTCACGAGACACCCTAATTGCCACTGGGAAAAGATGGCTCGTGTTTTGTCTATTCTAACCATTTACTGTACCGTTAAATTTTGGGTAACGGTCCTTAAGGCACATGGGAATGGGAATGAATCGATTTATTTATTGTGTGTCAAATATAACGGCCAGAGAAACGTTTTTAACCATTAATATTCAATAAATAAATAATAAGGAGATGGCATATCATTATGGAAATCTTAGCAATAAATATAATCTAAACAGGCAATGTTTCTTAGCTGACAACTAATTTTTAAGATTAATTCTATACCCCCCTTTTCCTACTAATTATGAATAAAAAAAATCATTTAAATAACCAAAATAAAAATATACATGAACCTAGCGTTCTTTCCATGATTTTTCCTAGGACATAAACCAATCATTTCCCTTCCCTTTAACTTTTACGATTTCCCTCTCTTACTTACCTACACTCTAATAAACTAATGTCATCCTTTATTTATAGATACCACCGGAACTGTCACCTACGACTAATTTCTCGCTGTATCCACGGGCCATTAAAATAAATGAATAAATAACGAACACAGCATTGTGACATGTTATTTCCGCTGCATTCTCCACCATTTCTCCTTTCTCTGTACACAGGACAGTAACTATTCGTCTCAATTATTATTTATCAGTACAAAAAGATTTAACAATTACACTAATACACTTGTCAAGCATTGCAATCAATGATATCAGGTTAAAACACGACTTTAAATACCAGAACTAAGGTTAACTGTACACAAGAAGTTAAAATAACGAAATTATTGTTTTTCCCCAAATTAATTTTTAACAGTTAAACACACAAACCATTTATAAATGATTATAATAATTCACTCTATTTGTTGCAACACAAAATTTTGCTATACTGATATGCCTTTAGAAATTTTAAAAAAATGTAAACAAATGTTTCAGTGAAAAATGTACATATGTATATATATAATATATATATATATATATATATATATATATATATATTATATATATATATATATTATATACACACACACACACACACACACACACACACAGACACACACACACACACACACACACACACACACACACACACACACACACACACACACACACACACACACACACACACACACCAACACATTACAAAGCCCACACACGCCCAAGCACGCGCGCATACACACGCACACTCACACGCACATAGTACAATGACATACACACATTCAAACACACACACACATATACATATATGGAGAGAGAGAGTTAGAGAGAGAGAGAGAGAGAGAGAGAGAGAGGAGAGAGAGAGAGAGAGAGAGAGAGAGAGAGAGAGAGAGAGAGAGAGAGAGAGAGAGAGAGAGACCGAGAGAGATAGAAACAGAGAGAGAGAGAGAGAACTCCCTCGCAACACTAATAAAAAAGAAAAACAGCACCACACTCAACTTGCACACCAACTCCTCGTCAACACTTAACAAATCTCAGAACACGTACCTCCCTCAAATGGACGTGATATAGTCTTAAAAGCGCCGATGACCCAGACTTTACTCCACGGCAAAACTGTCACCTACTTACTATCAAGGTCTGTGTAATGACTTATTGAGACGCTTACTATCCTTGTCACAGTATCAAGGTCTGTGTAATGACTTATATAGACGCTTACTATCCCGGTCAGCTAACTGTAGGCGACTCGCAGGGTAAAGCCCCGAGTACAGGCTATCGCCCTCTCAGTCTCGTCTGCACCGACGTCGTTATTCTTCTATGTATACGATATTTTCTGAAGTATGTTGGAATAATGTGGGAGTGTTTTGCAGTGGAATTCGTGTATTTCGGAGAGGCTGAAAGTGATATTTCTTTAGATTTTGACCTTTTAAAAAACTGGTTTGCTGGTTCAGCAACTCTTTACATTGGGTACGTTGCCAAGTACCGCTAGATGATTTAATTTGTTTACGTGTCTGGATTATGCAATGTATTGCTATGAGTTCCGTGATTTGTTATTTATGCAAATCACATCACAATTGGGGTTTTATTTATTTTTTCTCTCACTCAAGCACTCAATGACTCTCTCTCTCTCTCTCTCTCTCTCTCTCTCTCTCTCTCTCTCTCTCTCTTCTCTCTCTCTCTCTCTCTCTCTCTCTCTCTCTCTCTCTCTCTCTCTCTCTCTCTCTCTCTTTCTTTCTCACTCTCTCTCCTTCACTCCCTTTCTCCCTCTCCCTTCTTTTCCTTTTGCATCTTCCTCTCCCTCTCCTCTGTGTCGGTCTGTCTGTCTCCCTGTCTATCTCTTTCTCTCCCTTTCTCCCTCCCTCTTCTCCTTCTACGTCTCCCCCTCTCCTATTTTCTTATCTATCTAACTATATATGACGAAACTATCTATCTATCTATATCTCTATCTGTCTATCTCTATTCCAACGTCTAGATCAATCTACGAATTAATTTCTTTCTCTTACACAGAAAGAAAGCCAAAAATGACAATAAAAAGAAAATTCTCAATATGTAAAGTATATACTCATTTAATAATAAGGTTGATATCAATTATTGTTATCACTTTCGTTTCCACAATCGGTGATGATAACGACCATAAACAGCTGACTCATGATTATTTCAAAGAATTGGTTATCTGAATGTTACTGTACCTTTCACCCTTTCCCCCTCCCCCCCGCCTCCTGCTATTTCTCTTCCTCTCTCTCTCTCTCTAAATTTGTCAAGGTAAAAAAAAAAAAGTCTATTTCTCTCTTCCTCTCTCTCTCTTTGTCTCTCACTCACTCACTCTCTTTCTCTACCCCTCTCTCTTCTTTCCCCTCTGCCTCTCCCTCTTCCTTTTCCTATCTCTCTTGCTCTCTTTATCTATCTCTCTATCTCTCTAATCAGTCTGTATTGATTAATATTTTTTTTTTACTCACGTGCAATACTATAAATAAAGAGAACATAAAAAAACATATCTTAAGGATGAATATACCAATAAAAGTACAATTCTCGAGCACATGTACAAACACCATTAGTTAAATATCAATTACCTTTATTACTTTCGTTTCCACGGTTATGAAAACGATCATAAACAGGTGAGTCATGATTACTTTTATATTTTGTTTATCTGAAAGGTACGATCATCTTAATTCTATGGGTTTTATCTCCTCTTTCTTTGATAGCTTCTGGAGGTGAGTGACGTTGCAGGTGGACTGAATATATCCTTCTTTCACCCTTTTAAAAGTACGTACATTTTTTTTTTACATATTTATTGCTTAAAATGGGTGTATTTTTTAATTTATTTATTATCATTATTATTTTTTTTTTGGTTGGAGGGGGGGGGGGGACAAATAATATGGCGATATTCATGTACAGTTTCTCTTTCTTTTTTTATTTTCCTCTGTCCCATTCCGCTATAAACAGCTGACTCATGATTATTTTAAAGAATTGTTTATCTGAAATGTACTGTACCCCTTCACCCTTCCTCCCCCCCCCTCCTGCTATTTCTCTTCCTCTCTCTCTCTCTAAACTTGTCAAGGTAAAAAAAAAAAAAAGTCTATTTCTCTCTCCCTCTCTCTCTCTTTGTCTCTCACTCACTCACTCTCTTTCTCTACCCCTCTCTCTTCTTTCCCCTCTGCCTCTCCCTCTTCCTATTCCTATCTCTCTTGTTCTCTTTATCTATCTCTCTATCTCTCTAATCAGTCTGTATTGATTAATATTTTTTTTTTTACTCACGTGCAATACTATAAATAAATAGAACATAAAAAAACATATCTTAAGGATGAAAATACCAATAAAAGTACAATTCTCGAGCACATGGACAAACACCATTAAAGAAATATTAATTACTTTAGTTAAATATCAATTACCTTTATTACTTTCGTTTCCACGGTTATGAAAACGATCATAAAACAGGTGAGTCATGATTACTTTTGGATTTTGTTTATCTGAATGGTACGGCCATCTTAATTCTATGGGCTTTATCTCCTCTTTCTTTGATAGCTTCTGGAGGTGAGTGACGTTGCAGGTGGACTGAACATATCCTTCTTTCACCCTTTTAAGAGTACGTACATTTTTTTTACATATTTATTGCTTAAAATGGGTGTATTTTTTATTTATTTATTATTATTATTATTTTTTTTTTTTTTTTGGTGGGGAGGGGGGGAGGACAAATAATATGGCGATATTCATGTACAGTTTCTCTTTCTTTTTTTTATTTTCCTCTGTCCCATTCCGCTATAAACAGCTAACTCATGATTATTTTAAAGAATTGTTTATCTGAGATGTACTGTCCCCTTTTCTCTCTCTTTTTCTGTTCCTTTCTCTCTCTAAGCTTGTCAAAGTAATAAAAAAAAGTCTCTTTCCCTCCCTCTCTCTGTCTGGCTCTCACTCACTCACACTCTCTCTCATTCTCTATCCCTCTTTCTTTCACCTTCTCTCTTCTTTCCCCTCTGCCTCTCCCTCTTCCTTTTCATATCTCTCTTGCTCTCTTTATCTATCTCTCTATCTCTCTAATCAGTCTGTATTGATTAATATTTTTTTTTACTCACGTGCAATACTATAAATAAAGAGAACACGAAAAAAAACATATCTTCAGGATGAAAATACCAATAAAAGTACAATTCTCGAGCACATGTACAAACACCATTAAAGAAATATTAATTACCTTTATTACTTTCGTTTCCACGGCCATGAAAACGATCATAAAACAGGTGAGTCATGATTACTTTTATATTTTGTTTATCTGAATGGTACGATCACCTTAATTCTATGGGCTTTATCTCCTCTTTCTTTGATAGCTTCTGGAGGTGAGTGACGTTGCAGATGGGATGAATATATCCTTCTTTCACCCTTTTAAGAGTACGTACATTTTTTTTTACATATTTATTGCTTAAAATGGGTGTATTTATATATTTATTTTTTATTTATTTTTATTATATTTTTTTTTTTTGGGGGGGGGGGGTAGGACAAATAATATGGCGATATTCGTGTACAGTTTCTCTTTCTTTTTTATTTTCCTCTGTCCCATTCCGCTGTAAACAGCTGACTCATGATTATTTTAAAGAATTGTTTATCTGAAATGTACTGTCCCCTTTTCTCTCTCTTTTTCTGTTCCTTTCTCTCTCTAAGCTTGTCAAAGTAATAAAAAAAAAAGTCTCTTTCCCTCCCTCTCTCTCTCTCTGTCTCTCACTCACTCACTCTCTCTCATTCTCTATCCCTCTTTCTTTCACCCTCTCTCTTCTTTCCCCTCTGCCTCTCCCTTTCTTCCTCTCTCTCTCTCTCTCTCTCTCTCTCTCTCTCTCTCTCCTCTCTCTCTCTATCTCTCTCTCTCTGTCTCTCACTCACTCAACTCTCTCATTCTCTATCCCTCTTTCTTTCACCCTCTCTCTTCTTTCCCCTCTGCCTCTCCCTTTTCTTCTCTCTCTCTCTCTCTCTCTCTCTCTCTCTCTCTCTCTCTCTCTCTCTCTCTCTCTCTCTCTCTCTCTCTTGTTCGTGATAGCTTCTGAAGGTGAGTGACATTGCAAATGGGCTGAATATTTCCTTCTTTCATCCTTTTAAGAGTACGTACAATTTTTTTCTTAATATTTATTGCTTAAAATGGGTGTATTTTTTATTAATTAATTAATAATTATTATTTATTTATCATTATATTTATTCATTATTTTATTTATTTATTCTTTTTTTTGGGGGGGGGAGGGGTAGGACAAATAATATATCGATATTCATGTACAGTTTTCTTTTTTTTCCCTGTCCACATTACAATGAATATTGACATTTATTCCGAGACTTTGATCGGAAAATTAGCAGCGATATTAAAGTTTTTTTTGAATTTGGACATCGATCCGGCATTTTCCCTTTTCTATGAATCTGCGTCTTTTTTGAAACAGCCTCATGGTTTGTTTCATTTTTCATTATTTTTCAATATCTTCTGCTGTCCTAGTCTCTCTTTTCCTTTTGTTTCATTGTTTTTATTATCTCCTCTCCTGTCCTATCCCAGTTTATATGTGTAGTGTTTCTCTTTCTATTTTGTTTCATTTCCATTATCTCTCTTTTCCTTTTGTTTCATTTCTTCCATTATCTCCTCTGCTGTCCTAGTCTTTCTTTTCAATTGTTTCATTTCTTTCATTCTCTTTTCCTTTTGTTTCATTTTTTTCTTATATCATTCCCAGTTTATATGAGTCTCTCTCTTTCATTTGTTTCATTTCTTCCATTCTCTCCTCTGCTGTCCTATCCCGGTTCTGTGTGTAGTGTCTCTCTTTTCCTTTTGTTTCATTTCTTCCATTATCTCCTCTGCTGTCCTAGTCTCTCTTTTCCTTTTGTTTCATTTTAAAAAATTATCTCCTCTCCTGTCCCATCCCTGTTCTATGTGTAGTGTCTCTCTTTCTATTTTGTTTCATATCTTTCATTCTCTCTGCTGTCCTATCCCAATTTATATGTCTCTCTTTTCCTTGTTTCATTTCTTCCATTATCTCCTCTGCTGTCCTAGTCTCTCTTTCATTTGTTTTATTATCTCTTCTGTTATCCTATCCCCGTTTATATGTGTAGTGTCTCTCTTTTCATTGGTTTTTCTTTGAGGTCTTTTGGAGGGGAAAATTTTCTCATCTCTGCCATAACACGGTACCGGCTCTTTGAGTGCAGTGAACAAGGCAAATTAGATTTTTGTTATGAAATATATATTTGTTGCTCATTTTTGTTGTTTTCAATTTGAAGCATACCATATAAATGTGTTCGTGTGTACGTTCGCAGGAATCCGTCTGGAAAGGTTTGGGTACTACAGCTTTGATATGTAAATGCATTGTACTGTAATATTAGTTATGGAAATATATCATGAAACTGCATTGACTTCAGAATAATGCACATAAACTCTTTCATTACTTTTACTCCTCCGTTGTAAACAGCTGACTCATGATCATTTTAAAGAATTGTTTATCTGAAATGTACTGTCCCCTTTTTATCTCTCGCTCTCTTTTCCCGTTCCTTTCTCTAAGCTCGTCAAAGTAATAAAAATGTCTCTTTCCCTCTCTCTCATTCTCTACCCACCCCCTCTGCTTGTCCCTTTTCTCTTTTCTCTCTCTCTCTCTCTCTCTCTCTCTCTCTCTCTCTCTCTCTATATATATATATATATATATATATATATATATATATATATATATATATATTTCTCTATTCTATAATCAGTTTCTATAATCAGTTTGTATTGATTTTTTCACTCAC